AAAGTAGGAATTAGAGTTTAATGCAGTATGATGTGTCATGTATGTTTATTCTATTGCCATCTGAAATTTGAATTCCTCCAAGTTCTGCTGTTAAAGGTAATACAAGTATTTGTAGGTTTGTCCCTAACCTTATGACTTGACATTTTAAAAGGCCAGTGAGCCCTCTCCACTTTTAGTGCCATTGTCACGGTCCTGTCTCAAAAGTTAAAAGGAGCCTGGAGGTCACATTCAGCCTCGGATAGAACGTGACCTGTCTTGTAATTCGACTTATAACTGAAACCTTAGAGGTCACATCCAGCCACATATGTAAGGTGACCTGTCTTGTAATTCAACTTATAACCGAAACCTGTTAGAACAGCACTTCTTTTGGAACTTCTGTCTGCATAAGAATCTCTGTTAGAATCGAACATTCTGAGGTCAGGGGGAACCTGAGATTCCGTTATCCTGAAAAGATCGCAAGTGGACCGCACTTCGAGAAGCGAAGTCTTAGAAAGGAGCTGTGAAATACCTAGCTCACCCACCCCCAGATTAGAGATTCTCTTCTTACCCATTCTCCCTGTGGTGTTTTGTTGTCCCCCCACTTTGGGGACAATGACGAAAATGCAACCGGAAGTGGTTGCCTTTGTGAGACGGCTAATGGTAAGGTTTACCGCAAAGCGCTCTGACCACGACCACTTGCCGCTGTGTCTTCCTAGTTCCCGTCAGATCTCAGGCCCGTGCTGGACCCTGGATTAATGGCTGCTGAACGCGGTCATGATTAGATGAATGTGTAACATTCAGATTCGGGGTATTATGAGTGCTATTCATTTGGGTCTTCACGGTCAAATTTTTAATGGCTCCTGGGAACACTTCAAGAAGCTACGTAATTCTCTGTTTATATGCCAGAGAGTGTGTACATACACATACATATTAATATGCATGTAGACACATACTCTAGCATGTACACAGCATACGCACATATAACGTGTGTGTGTGCGCGCACATACATACACTGGAACATGGTTCTTACGTCCCATGACTTGA